TTCCCGCAGCCCCCATTGGCAGCTGTGATCGGCCGAACCTGCAGATGCTGCAGGTAAACAAACTGTCCCGGCCCACCAGCAGCTTTCCCTGACAGGCCGTGTGCCAAAGGTTGCCGATCCTTGTGCTAGGGGTTACACTATTTTCAGGCAAGTTATTAGCAGCTTTCAATTAATTCTTAACATCTTTTAACACTTTTTAGGAATCAATTTTAAATGTGAAAGGGATTAATTAGTATATGGATTTTATTCAAGTACTAGAAAAGAGTTACTTTCACAAGAGATAATAATGAAACTGGTTTCTTCTGCTTATGTTGCATGGGAATTCACTGTTAGAAACAGAACAAAGAAGAGAGAAAACGAACACAAAACTAGGCAATTATATAACTGATCTTTTGGAAAGAGTGTCCTAGCATAAGCAATGCTACAGAGATGTAGAATATGAAGTCATCATCTCCACTCTTCTGCCAGTGCAGGGTACAGGGTGTAGAGCAGAGTCTTTGAGGAGAATGTGAGGGGCGCAAAGAAGGAAGAAATCCTTAATGCTCAGAAAACCCCTGGGTGAAGGGAAATGTAAACTTATTCTAAGCCCTTGTAATGTGGAATTATATTTATAGAAAACAAAAAAAAGTTTTGATATTAACTGCCGTCTCAACACAAAATGCTTCAAACTCACATATTTTATAGCCAAAAAGTGTGCAAGTGTAGTCAATTTATCCATTATCAAACAACTAATAAAAATATAATCCAATTGCCCATGCCATCCAAAAACCTGCAGGAAATGTAAATAAGCAAAAACAGAAGTGTTTATTTTTTCTTAAAATGAGTTATGGCACAGGCTACACTTTAAAGCCTAAGGCAATATATTCAAGTAATCATCCCCTAGCACCAATCTGTTTTTCCTATATATTGGTTATTCTCTGTTACAGTAGAACCTCAGAGTTATGAACAGCTTGGGAATGGCGGTTGTTCCTAACTCTGAAAAGCTTGGAATTCTGAACAAAGAGTTATGGTTGTTCTTTCAAAAGTTTACACCTGAAAAACAACAATACAGCTTTGAAACTTTACCATGCAGAAGAAAAATTCTGTTTTTAACCATCTTAATTTAAATTAAACAAGCACAGAAACAGCTTCCTTACCATGTCAAATCTTTTAAAACTTTCACTTTATTTTTAGTAGTTTGTGTTTAACACAGTACTGTACAGTATTTGCTTTTTTGGTTTTGTCTCTGCGGCTTGATTGCATATTTCCGGTTCCAAATGAGGTATCTAATTGACCGGTCAGTTCCTAACTCTGAGGTTCTACTGTACCTCAAATAAATAGCTGTCATAGGGTTTTACATGCTTGATCTTCAAGGAATCTCTCTGATGTGGATAAATAATTTTTTCATTGTACAATTGGGAAAACTGGGGTACAGGGTTAAGTGGTATGGTATATCAGAGATGGTCTCCTCTGACCACTAAATAATGCCTCTATCAAACACAGACAATCCTTTTTAAGTTAGCTAGTGTTTCTACAGCACTCGAAAAGTGCTGAGAATTATAATTCATTTCTCACTCCAGGAGCTATACCATCCAGCAATGAGTTTTACAGGCCATGTGATCATTATCCACTTTCCTTCAACATCAACCATATCAGGTTAGTTGGCAATCCGAAGTATACCAATCACCTAAAATATCTCAGACCTAGCAATTTCCACTCCTTATCTAGGATGCCCACAATGAACATGCACCAGATCCCCCAAAAAACTTCTGTATCTACATCTATTATTCTTACTCCAAAAAAAATGTACAAATGTTATAATTCAAAAAACCCACAAGAGTACTTCAGGTGTGCTCAGAAGCAAGCTGTCTGACATAAACAACCTGGATGTCAGCCCACCTTTTTATTACTGTATTTTGAATTCAAGTCTCTTACAGCTTGAAAGACCATGAGTCAAGTCTCATCATACTTACACTGGTTTTACACCAGTGTGACTTCAAGGAGTTACCCCTGATTTACACTGTGAACAAAACAGGCATACTGTGCTTTCAATCCAGAAATTAATATTCAGTGTGTACAGTTACAAACTTAAAATAAAGTATCTAGTCTATACTGGAGTTTGAAAAAACTGGAACATTTGTTTTAATTGGTTAGTTCAGCATGAAAGGTAGAAGAATTCTGGTCCTGAAATTAAAACACTAATTACTGGATCAGTTACTGAAAATAATCCTTAAAAAAAAAAAAAACCACCCAGTGTGCTTCACCTATGTACATGCCACAGCTGTATTAACAAACTGTCAAATCACAAGTATCAGGGGGTAGCCATGTTAGTCTGTATCCACAAAAACAACAAGAAGTCCGGTGGCACCTTCTCTTCATGTGTCAGTATATAATGCCTGCATCTGAAGAAGTGGTTTTTTTACCCACAAAAGTTTATGCCCAAATAAATCTGTTAGTCTTTAAGGTGTCACTGGACTCCTTGTTGTTTTTGTCAAATCACAGGGATGAGATTAGGGCATGCCTCATAACTCAAAGGGATGGAGAAGTTCAGTAGTTCACAAAAAAAAGTCCCTAATCATACAAAAAGCTCCCTGGCAAGCAGAAGCCAGCTGAAAACCCCACTGAAGTAGAGGAGGGTCCTTGTAGGGGCAGAAATCTACCTATTTGATGACCTGTTGATTTGAAAGAGGCTCTGTGCCAGTTTCCAGCAACACAAAGCTCCTTATAGGAATGATCTCATGGAATGTTAATATTTCCTTATTTATAAGAAAGGAATGGAAGGAAGGATGATCAGAAATCTCATGCTTGGATAAACACCTTAATTTGCTTTAAAAGGGAAGTAATTCAGATTAATATTGGATTAAACTCCACATTTCTAGAATAGTTAGTAAACAGTTTATGACATTTTCTGAATTTTAGATCAAACGTTCTTTGTAGAGCATCAATAATGTGTATGATTATGCCTCATTTACAAAAGCCAGAAGTGAAAAGACTCATGGGGAAGGTGGGAGGGTTTAAGCATGAAAAGAGAGAGAACATAACTTTAAAGAACCAAGTTACAGAGAATCTGTCTCCTTAACAATAAATGAAGATGTTTTACCCTCAGTTTCCTGATACAAACAAACAATATTAGTGATGAGAAGTCCTGCGAGTGACAGCAAGGAATTAGGTCCGCCCTGAGTCAGAGGGTAACTAGGGGGGTTGGTCTGGGTATATGTGGGTATGTATAGTCACAGCAGCAGAGAGGATGGTCCACTAGTTTTGTAAGCTACTTCCTATCCAGCATGTGCCTCCTGACACCCTCTTGGCTTCAGAGAGCAGGAGCTCAATCTTCCAGCCCAATCACCTAGGTCACGCATCTCCCCTTTCTGCATCGTCCGGAGCCCTTCCTGTGCCTCTCCCCGCCACCTCAAAGGGGAAGGGAGCTGCCCTTCCTAGCACACCCCTGGCTGAGCCCGCCTGCCTCCCGCACCTCTGACCCAGCCCCCACAGGCATGGTCTCCCCGCGACAAGCCCTTGTGCCTGGGCCTCGCCCCCTCCTCCTGACCCACTAACACACCTCCCAGCCAACATGGCCGCCCCACCAACCAGCACCGAACGCAGCCTAACCCATGACACAGCCCGCCCCACCCCCTTCCCAACCTGATTGGCCATCCGACCTCCCAAGCTCGCACCCATTGGCCCGAACCGCCGCCACTCATCCTCCCAGCGGCTCTTTCAAGCTAGTGTGAGGCAACATGTAAACAAATCACTTTCAGAGGCTCCTCAGCTAGGCAGTGCCGCCCCCCCACTCCCAAAAGAAAGGAAGTGGGGGGAGCTACTGCTCTTCAGAGGGAAGGGATAAGGGAACCTACTCTCACAAACTCCACCGTCCAGGCATGGGGGGAGCGGGCTTCCCTCACCCCCCATCCCTCCCCGCTGGGGTGCCCATAGGCAGCTACTCTTCTCTCCTGGACTAGGAAGATGGGGCAGGAGGCTCGCAGGCAGCTAGGTTCGCCCCACAAATCCCCCTCCAGGAGAGGGGATAAGGACGGATCTCCATGGTAGCTAGTTTCCAGGCCTGTCACAAGCCTAAGACTCCTCCGGGAGCCCACACATTCCCCGCCCCACAACCCCAAACTAGTTACACAGAGTCACAGGGCTGAGCTAGGAGACTCCCTCATCCATTTCCCACCCAGCTGTCGCCTGTCTCCCCTATTTGCACTGATCCCTTATATACTGAGGGCTAAGCAAACCTTTCATCCATAGTACCAGAACCCACAGAACCCCTGGAGAGAAGGTGCTTTAATCCCCATGATCGTTCAGTACAGGCTCTGCTCCCCTTGCCACGGCACAGACGCCTGATAGATGTAGGTTGCAATGGAATCCGACAGACCACTGCTAACTCAGTGCACGCCCCTGCACATGCTGCTGCTTTCCTTTGCTGTCTCTTTCAACTCCTTCTGCTACTAACTTGCAGCCATTCATTTCAAAACATACCAAAGGCCCAAGAAGCGACAGCAGTACAATCACTGTGCCAACGGGTCGGAAACCTCAGAAGCAGAGAAACTCAGGCATCTGCCTAGCACGGGGCTGTTCCCATCATACTACCAACAACCGCCCCCTTGAAGGAGCACGGGAAAGTGTCTGCTGCCCTCCACATCTCTATCCGCGTGGTACCTCCCCCATCCCATACGCCTCTCCAAAACCAGGAGAGGGAATCAGAGGCAGACACACCCCTTTTTCACCCTGGGATTGTCCTGGCCTCAGTACCCCGGTCCTTCCTTGTGTGTATCAGCGACTCTCCTGATCTACTCTGGATGGAGTTCCTGTACCTCTCTACTGGGTTAAAGGAGCAATAAATGCAGCCCCCCGCCCCGCCAAGGACTGCACCAGCCTCCACACCGCTGCCCCCAGCCCTTATCCTGCCAGGGGCTACTAGTGCAACAGTCTCCACAGCCTCCGCCCTGTCAGAGGCTGCTGCTACCGCCACCCCCACGACCCCTCCCTGCCCGAGGCTGCTGCAGCAGCCGCTCCCTCACCTGGCGTCCCCCCGACCCAGCGGGGCAAAGGTATGGCTCAGTAGGGGGCGCCGCCCATCCCGCTCCGGCCCGGACCCTCCATGCTGCTTTGGGGTTTGTTTTGTTTATGTCTCTTCCTGACGGGTTCCCGGAAATCGCGTGACTCGCCCCCCTCACGTGAGAAGGGGGGGGTCTGAGAGCAGGCCAATCACAGAGAACAATGCACAGGGCCTATCAGCAGCTGCAGCGCAGGCAGTCCTCTGTCATGTGACAGGGGCGGGCCGCGGAGGGGCCCAGTGGGTGTCGGGGGTATTGGCTCCCAGGCGTTTCCAAGGAGCCCTGCAGTTCGTGTCAGGAGCGGCCGAACTTATTGACCCTCAGACTCCGAGCTGCACATAACCATCTTCAGCGCTTCACGAGCTGGAGCGTGCCTGCTAGGCCGGGGGGTTTCAGCCTTGCAGGGAGGCGGGTCTCGGGGCTCCAGCCCCATCGGAGGCATCTGCTGGGGCTCAGGACTCCAGTCCTGTGGGGTGCGCCTGCCAGGGCTGGGGGCTTCAGCCTTGCTCCTGCTGAAGCCCCCAGCCCTGGCAGGCGCACCCCACAGCGCTGAATCCCTCAGACCCCCATCCATGCAGGGTGGGAGCCCCTACCTCCAGCACCCCACCACGGGGCAGAAGCGTAGGCCCGGTCAGTGAAGAATCAGGGGCTCCGCAAGCCCCACTTTAACTGTAAAAGAGCTGAATCCGGCGTATGGGCCGCAGTTTGGCCACCCCGATATGTATGCCATATAGGGTAGCAGGTGGTCCCAAGGGAGTTTCCCCACACAAGGTGCAGTGGGGTCTCCCAGGGAGTCAGCAGAGGGGCATCACCCCATACGCAGGGCTACGGTACTCCAGGGAGTTACTGGTGGTGATTATTTTTATGTAGTTTAAAACCTTAAACCCAAGAATCATGTTTCTGAAGCTCTGCTGAACTTTTGTCCCCTCTTTATCCCTGTTCCTGTATGGGAGTGGTCCCCAATCTTTTGGGGGTTATGCACCCCCTTATCCCGTGTGCCCCCCCCCCGACCCAGAGCTCCGGGAAGGGGCAGGGGATGCAGACAGGACTAAGGACAGAGGTTGGGGCCACAGCTGGGGGTGGGGTTGGGAGCAGGAGTGGAGCCAGGGCCAGGCTGCAGTGAAGGTTGGCAGCTAAGCCCCTGGCCAGGTGGGGCTTTGCTCCCAGGTGGGGACACAATAGAACTGGGGGTGGGGGGAGACCTGCTGGGTGTTGCTCCCTGCCCCCCTGGGGGCTTGCCTAGGTCCCACCGGATGTTCCTCCACCCCCCTTGGGGACCTCTGCTGTATGGTATAAACCCTCAATAAAAAAATAGTTGAGAGTTTGAGCCACATTTGATACCTAAATCACTCCTGCAGCTGCTGCAGCCTGTAATCAAAGGCTCTGAAGATAGTGTGCATTGTAGTGATACGTGAGTTTATTTTTTCATTTCTTTTTTTCCTGGCCTCCACCCTGTCAAATCCAGATGGGCATTAAACAAATGAACAAACAAGCAAAACCCAGTCTTCGTAAGCTTTTCATCCATTTATATCTCTCTGACTTGGAGAATGAATGGGTTTTGGCTTAAAATAGTTTGGTCTCAAAGTAAATTGTAAATAAAAAGACACCTACTCAGCTGTGGAGAAAATTACACATTTTATCCACTCATATCCAATTTCTGCTCCTCAGTGCTGGCTGCTCAAACTCATTATTTCCTATTGGCTAGATGCAAGTGGATGCCTAAGTGGATGTACTGATGAATTTCATTCTATTGCCTATAAGTCTAGGTCTGTTAAATAAACTAGACAGAAAAAAGTGAAAAGATCATTGTCAGCTTCAAAAAGCCTTCCCTGTGTTACTAATTACTCAGATTAAAACCAATATATTTGGAAAACCTTATTTACTTTCTGCTGTTTAGACTGCTCAGTTTACTTTTGTACTTACTTCACACAGGCCAACACAATTATTAGTATTTATTTGACGCTATCCAAGAATATGGTACTTGCCTCACAGTACAAACATGAAGACATGGACACTGTCTTGAAGATCTTAAAATCTATTACCCCAGTCCTACAGTGTGCCAGGCATGAACACAGCAGTCTACCTACACACTACTACATGTTGGCTCAGGACCTAATGTCAAATGGAGGGGTAACAAAACAGTAATGAGAATAAGGGAGGATGGTCAGAGCTAACATCAATAAAATAATGTTATCAGCAAAAGCTTATGCACAGCATGATAGAACAAACAATTATTGTTTAAGAATAAATAAATGTCTTTCCCTCATCACAGGTCAAAGAGGAAAGGTTAGTCAGTTGGCAGACCAGTTCTGAAGGGCATTCCATGCATAAAAGACAGTGTGGGTAAAGAAGCGCAAAGAGAAGTAGACAATAGGACAAAAGTAATCTGTAGTGATGGTGACCACATGCACGCCTCTATTCACACTCTACACATTACTGTAATAATTTTTGTACAAAATATGCTTCAGTATTGTTTGAAAACTAATAGCTTGCTGGTTAATAATATCATGGTGGAATATATGTACCAATATGTTAGTTTGTGAACAGAAGGTGAAATCATGACTGAAGTGTGTTTACCAGACAAGTCTGGAGAGTGGGTAAACCTGTTTCTCAAAGACAAAGGACAAGTTAAAAGAAAAGGAGTACTTGTGGCACCTTAGAGACTAACCAATTTATTTGAGCATGAGCTTTCGTGAGCTACAGCTCACTTCATCGGACAAGTTGAAACCTCTAGCCAGGTGTCACCAAAGCTGATAAGTAATCACCTACCAAGTGGCCATTCTTGAGCAAGGACGCAGGGCAACAGATCTGCAGCTTAGCAAACAGCAGCATGGAGACGTTTTCATCACCAGTCTCTTTGGCTATTGTCTACAGTACACACCTTTTAATGACACAATTGTGCTGCTACAGCCGCGCTGCTAAAAGGCGCAGAGTGTAGTCGCTGTTTGTCGGTAGGAGAGAGCGCTTCCACCAATAGAAATACTTCCACCCTCAAAGAGTGGCAGGAGAGCTCTCCTGCCAACAAAGCGCTGTTCACACCACGGCTTTTTGTCGGCAAAACTTTTGGTGTTCGGAGGTGGGGTATTTTTTGTTTTTTTTTTTCCAAAGGTTCTGTCGTTCAGGTTCCACTGTAGACAAAGCCTTAGTCTCCATCCTCACAGTGGAAATGAACTTTATCTAGGGGTAACCCTTAGGAAAATGCAATTTCAAAGGGTGACTGAATTATAAAAGCAAGGAGCAAAAACACCCCAAGTTCTCTTTCCCTACCCATCTCTCTCTTTTCCATGTAAGATCACAAAAGAAACAGCCTATGGACTTTTGGAGCAGATTGTGACCTGAAAGTTGGTCAGCCCTATTGTTGGGAGCTTGTGGTAAGAATTTTACTTTGAACCAAGTCTAGTTTAAGTTTAGAAAGCATTTTAGCTTTATTTCTCTGGTAACCATTTCTACCTTTAATGCCTTATACTTGTACTCACTTAAAAATCTCTTTATAATTAAATAAACTTGTTTTATTCTTTAATTAAAACTAATCCAGCATTGTCTTTAAACTGAACTGTGTAGGTAATTCCAATTATGGTAGCAAATTGTTGTATATTGATAACCTTAGAGGGGTAATGGACCTAATATTGTCCAGGAGAGGGCTGGACGGTGCAGAACACACATTTTGGGGGGGGAAATCCAGGACTGGGAGTGTGTTGGGTTCACCCAGCTAGCAGTAGCCAAGGCTACGGAAAGCCAGAGTGTAGCTTTGTTTTGAGCCCTGTGAAAGCTGGTGTTTCCTAACAGGCAACTGGGGTCAGAATTGCTAGACCAGGGTTATGGCTATCCACAGACACTCAGGGTGTAACATGCATCCTATTTGGCTGTTTGTGAGGAGCCCCAGCAGCAAAGCACTGGGAGACACCCCAGGTTGCAGAGGAAGGCTGATAGCCTGTCACTGGTCTGGATTGCACAGCACAGTGTGGGGAAAGAAGCGAAGAGAGAAGCAGACAAATAGGACAAAATAGTCATCTGTAGAGATGGTTGCAGAAAGAGAGAAAGCCATATTCTGTAGGAATATTCAGTTCTGTCAAAATTGAAATACTTCACAAAAATTGATTTAGTTTTAATGGAATTTCATTTCAGAAGAAAACTCGAAAAAATTCCAACGTCAAAATGTCCTGTTTTGACATTTTCAGAAGACCTTTTTTTGTTTTGAAATGACTTTTCGTTGTGCATTTTTAAATTTTGTATCTTATATCGCACATAATTTTAAAAAGACAAAATTGAAAAATGTTTTAATTGATCCAAAACAATTATTAAAAAATTTCCTTGATGAAGGATTTTGGAATTTTGGGGTTTCATTTCAATTTGGAATGAAGTCAAATTTCAAAATCCATTAGGACATGGAATTTCATCCTCTGCACAGCTCTATTAGTCTGCTTATAGTTGGTTTCATTTTTGGGTTTTCATCTACCCACACTATAGTGCCACATTGTATGGGTTGCAAATAGTTCAGAAAAAAATCTAAATCCAAACAGTTTGAACTGCTGTTTACATTTTTAAAAAATTCATTTTTATTAATTTCAAATATTATTGTAAAAATAACTGTTAGCAAGACAAGATCAACAGAAACAACAGCATCAAAATAAAAAAATCAGGTTTGTTCAGAGAGAAAACAGTACTTGGAAATCTTGAAGAGACACCAAATTTAAAAACAACTTGAAAATAATCAGCAAGGTTAGCCGGTCTAGTTTTATACTTAACGTTGTATTAAATGGCAGGAAAAAAACAATGGTGTTAAGAGGCAGTTTTGTAAATCTTTTACATAATTTACATTTTGGGCTTCAAGCTACCTGTTAATGTACAAAGTATGAGATAAAAAGAATAAAGTTAATGGAATGGGTTTCACCTGTGATGACTTTGAAGCAGAGAAGTATCTCCAGAGTCCAGTTGAGTGAGCCTCAGAAATTCAGCTGAAGAAAATACATACCAGATTGAGGAATTTCCCTTTATTTTATGCATCAGCACGGTGAGCTAACACTTCCTCTCTGAGACAGCTGTCAGATAGTTAATGTGAAGAACTTTGGAGGTACCTGCATTTTTTTTTTAAATGAGTATTATGCGGACCTCTCTTTGATTACTATCATGCTGTCTGCTAAATGGGTGCAATGAGTTAACACAGTCCTGGATGGCTTTTTGCATGTCTACAGGAAGCCAAAGTCAATAGCTTTAGACAGCCCTAAGTATTAGTGCTTAGCAACCACCACAGGTGTCAAGCTTTTAACATTGTCTCTATCCAAGTTGGGCACAGCAGCCCTCTACCTTATGGCAAAGTGGGGAGAGGAGTCTATGGATACAAGAAAACGGAGTTGCCTGGTTTTAAAATGGTGACAGGTTTCAGAGTGGTAGCTGTGTTAGTCTGTATCAGCAAAAAGAACGAGGAGTACTTGTGGCACCTTAGAGACTAACAAATCTGAGCATAAGCTTTTGTGGGCTAAAACCCACTTCATGGAATGCACATGTTGGAAAATTCTGGTTTTTTGCTGGTTTTAAAACGAGATTCTCCCTGAAACTAAGAAGAGACTTCATAAAAATTTGCATGGAGTTAACCAACTTGTATACTCCTCCTTTGGGGAATAAATTAATAGGAATATTATTTACCTACACAAAAGTCTGCTTTGTGACTATTGCCATGGATTCCCACTTCACCAATCCACCACTTTCCTCATTCTGATACCTCCAAGTAGTTAATTTTGTAAAAGTGCTGAATTATATCCTGTTCCCCAGCATGGCTCATCATTTGTTGCTCAGGCTATAATACATTCATGCTAACACCTGTCTGTGTTTTTTGTAACACAAAGTGGTGAATATCTTCATAACAGACTGTATCTGGGGCTTGTGTATAATGGAGATGCCCCTCCAGCTCTGTATAGAGGTGGTTAACTGCACTGGTCACAAAATCCTGGACATGTTTTAAATAGGAAGGAGGGTAAGTGTGTCAAACTCATGTAGGCATGAACTGGGATTTTGATTATACCCTGCATAGAAGAGGTTTGTTCCCCATTTCCTGCACCTCAGTGGTTTCCAATCTCTCCTCATGGAGGCCCAGCTGATATATATGGCTTTCACCAGTTGTCTTTTTTCACATTTGACCTAGGATTAGCATGATCTCGGTTTAGAATTAGAACACCTTTGAGGACTACGTGGAAGCATCAGCTAGTACAAAATGTAGTCCTTGTGCTTTCTGCTGTGTACTGGGTCAATCCAAAGGGTTTGATACCATCAATACCACAAAAGTCCTGGATCAGGTTAGCCAAGTAACAGTATCTCCACTTACGCCTCACTGAAACTGGCCATCTTATCTCCAAGATCAAATTCCCAGCATCAGGTAAGAGGGCTTTCTGTGAGGGATTCTCGGCTCTGGAACTCATTTATGCTGAAGGATCTTTCAGAGAATGTCTATTTCTAAGGCACATGCATATATCTATCTATATCTAGTGGTTTTTTTTCCTGATTGCAGTGTTTAGCATTAGGTAGGGTTGGTTGCTGAAGCATAACTTAAGGCAGTTTATTATTCTAACAGTGATTTTCTTGATGGTGCTTTAGCCCAAAGCACCAAGCTCTATTTTGTCATAGGCCTTTACTATATATCATGGAAAATATACATACTGAAGTTGAACAGCTTGAAACACTACAAGAAAGAATTGAGAGAGAAAGCAACCAAGTAATTTCCCTCAGTATAGACCACCAGCTGGAGAGTTGGAGTCAGCTGGATAAGAACTCTTACATTCAGATGGCATAGTGAAATAACAGGCAATGTTAGATACAGGCATATTGAAAGCTCTGAAAGTTTCTAAAGTTGAACTCTTTGACTAACTAAGCAAAATTAACATTACAGAAATCTACCCAAAACCAAAATAACTATACAACCATTAGATGCTTCCCAAGAATGTTTCACATAAAGCAGCAGATTCATTTTAATCTTAAATTTCTGTGTACAGGGGAATAAACTTTTTGAGAATACAATCCATTGTAAAAATAAATGCCAAACATGTGGCAGCATCTCCCAGCCACCAGTTTTATTGCACACTTTATTTTTTGCAGCCTAGTGTATGGAAGTTTCATAAAGCTCATGGAGAATGAGCAACACATAGGACAAGGAAGAGGGCTGCCCTCAAACTCACATATCCCAGAAAAAAAAATTAGAACTTAAATTTCAAGTGTAATCGAAACAAGAAGTTTATAGCACAGAAAAGGAGGTATAAATCTTATGTATTAGGCACATCGTTAAACAGCATAAAAGGAAACCAGGAGAAAAATATAGGGCTTTGAACAAGCCATTTTAAGCACAATACAAACATTAAGGCATTAAGCAGGTTTGGTATCCAATCAGCTATGTCAAGGGCATCTTTGGATCAATGTAGCTTTTACATCTAGAGGAAATATGTTCTTTACCTGCAAAGCAAAAAGCAAGTCAGTCACTCTTTTTCATCGAGGCAATTTACTAGCTGAAGAGCTGCTCAGTGAATTAACCATGGCTGTTTGCTTTCTAGGAAGATGCTATGCTGTAAAGGAACAGTTGTGGCCAAATAACTACAGAGTATGGACAGAATTCATCTGCTTGGGTGTTTGAAAGTTCTTTCTGCAGAGATCTATCCCCAAATCAGCATAATCTGTGGTGTTAGTACATTTATCATGTTTAATTCGGTCATATTAGAAGCTACCACCTGGGAAGTTGTGCAGTTTTATAAGTGGGCCTGATGAGAATTCTGGCGGGTGCCCTGGAATTTAGTAGTGTGTGCACAGAATCTTCAAAGTAACGCCAGGGATGCACATCCAAGATCTCTTTCAGTTGCAATCTTGCTCCAGAACTTGCCAAGCAGAAGCCCACTGAAGGTTGTGTGGCTCCATCGGTACACTGATGGCAGAAGGGACAAGCAAGACATTGGTACTCCTCAATAGCCTAATCAAGGTTGGAGCTCTTAGCTAGTCTGCTCCAGCCTGCGGCCCTGTCAACATGCTTGTGGTTGGCCAAGCATGTTAGAAAGTTTCTTACCTCTGGACAGTAAAAGATGCTTAGAAAACCATGTTGTAATCTTGATCAATACCAAGCATGGTTATTACATGTTTCTTCTGTTCATACAGGCAAGAACACACATGTGTAACTCAGACACACCATGCAAACTGAAGGTTAAAAACCCACACAAGTTGCTTTATAGCTACTTATCACAAGCAGTCAAGCAGAAAGGCACTCAGTCAGTAATTTGGATTCTCTGACAATCATTTGACTGGATTCCAACTCACTCTCCCACCTTTCCCTCAGATGAGGGACTTTCTGGTCATCCTATCACAGGGGTGAGCAATAATTTTCGCAGTGGGGCCACTCCACGAATTTTGGTAAGTCGTCACAGGCCGCACATTTCTACTATATTAATGTGGGGTCTGGGAGGGAATTTGGGTGCAGGAGGGAGCTCTGGGCTGGAGCAGAGTGTTGGGGTGCAGGAGAGGGTGAGGAGTGTGGGCTCTGGGAGGGAGTATGGTGTAGGAGGGAGCTCCGGGCTGAGGCAGGGGATTGGGTGCAGGGTCTGGGAGGGAGTTTGGGTGCAGGAGGGGATTCTGACTTGGGGCAGGGGTGCGAGGTGTAGGCTCTGGTTGGAAGGCACTTACCACAGGCAACTCCCAGCCGGCAGCGCAGCAGGGCTCAAGCAGGCTGCCTGCATGCCATGGCCCCATGCCACTCCTGGAAGTGGCTGCGGCCGGTTTACGGCCAATGGGAGCTGTGAGGATGGTGCTGGGGGTGGAGGGCAGCACACAGAGCCGCCTCTCCCCTGTCAGGGGTGCGCAGTGACGTGCCAGCAGCAGCCGGCCGCTTCCGGGAGCGGTGTGGGGCCACGGCAGGCAGGCAACCTACCTGAGCACCCCGCTGCGCCGCAGGACTTTTAGTGGCCCGGACTTGGAGATCACAAGGGAGCAGAGGAGGCCAGACAGAAATGTTAGACGGGCCGGATCCAGCCCGCAGGCTGTATTTTGCCACCCCTGTTCTATCAGATATTAATCCCCCTTCTTTTCCTCAGTACCAATTTATTTATAATGCTTTGGGATGCTACTCCACTAAAAGGGAAACATCTTCCAATAGATATTTTCCGGATAGCCAAGTCTAGATTCCATCTCTCACTCCAGCTTGTTCCAGCTGCTAGTGGCAGCACAGACCATGGAGCAGACGGTTCATTATTAATTAAAAGCAAGTCCCACCCTCTAGTTCCAAGTGTCCACTCTGTGCAGGTGATTATATTCCAATTCCAATCCCCTGGCCTTCTGGGAATATGCCAGCCTTTCTGCCTGTGGTCAAGGTCATTACTCAGCAGAAACAAGACCCAGCACAATCACACAAAACAAATCCAGCTTGGCCACTGTACACTGTTAGAGCTTTCTATCTGCAGCAGATCCCAGCCTACCTTTGGCTTCTACTGAAAAACTAGCAAACAGAGACTTACATACACCACAGTCTGATACTTGTCAGGCTCGGCCTGATTTGGAAACACTAGAGTTTTGCTTAAGGGTTGGTACTCAACAAGCTTTACAACCAACATCCAATTGAGTGGCAATGTCAGCTATCATCCATATACTGCTGTTCAACTCTTTCAAAAGAACAGAAAATTATAGTAGTGAGGGGGGATTAAAGCTGCAAGACAAAGGCAGTAGAACACAGTGCTTTGAATTATTAATTCAGTTTGATCAGCATAAAAAACAAAGTCATGGAATTGGTCCCCACTGTTCTTGTTTGCACAGCAAGTCACCATTTACATCTCCTGCTCCCAAATCCAGCCCTTCAAAGAGGATGCCTGGATTAATTGTGCCTCCAAAAACCATTCAGTCCTGGTGATGGTTTCTGATGTGTCCAGCAGAAGCTTCAAGAGGTATTCCCATAGCACTGCTCAGCTAGTGCCCACGAGGTTTATTTATCTTGTTGGCCAGCACTAAAAATACCACGTTGGTTTGCAAGTTTATGGGGTAGTGCTCCCACACTGTCATGAGCGACCTAGAATCATTCTGGTCATTTGCACCGACTTCCTAGAGAGGAGAGTTGTACTGCATCAAACAAACTGCTCATCTTTATTTTCAAGGACTTTCACCATCTATTCTCACTCTACCCATCATCTCTCATTTGCTGTTGACTCTTGCCTCTAATCGGCCTATGATACCAGCCTCTCTTACGCAACTGTTACATTTTCAAATAAGCACCTTTGTGCTTCCTCCCATGCTGCCCCACCTGCTTGGGGGGAAGCTCTCTATACACATCTGCAAAACTACCTCACTACTCTCCTTAAAACTCCCCTTTGCCACAATACAAAAAACCTGACAATGGTTAGGCTGCTGGCATGCTGAGACCACTGCCTGTCATGCTGACAAATACTGTCTCATCTCATACTTCGGGTACATCTACACTAGAAATTTAAGTTGACTTATATTAGGTCGACCTGCATCACCGCATACGGTGGTGGCTGTATGTCCACACTACCCTCCTTGGGTCAGTGGTGCACGTCCTCACCAGGAAGGCTTGCAACGACCTAAGGGGGCAGTGTGGGGAGCAGAGAGCCCGGCGCCTCAGCTCTGCTGGCAGCTCCCTGTCAGGAGCCCAGTTGCTCCACAGGCTCCTGGCAGGCCACCCAGGGTGGGGGGCAAGGGGAGGGGCTGAACAGGAGAGAACTGCCCAGGGCTTCTCACCTCCCCCTTGCCCGCTGGAAGTGGGAGGAGGGACCCTGGGCTATAGCTGCCCTGCTTTGTCGTCAATGTCATGGCTCCTGCCATAAAATTGACAAGACAATCAACAGCCAACTTAAGTAACGCAGCGTCTATCCAGACATTGCGTTGTCCTAACTATACTGACATAAGTCCTATGCCTCTCATGGAGGTAGAGTTATTATGTCAGTGTAGTATGGCTCTTGCATCAGTGGGAGCAAGGCTGTAGTGTAGACACTGACATAATTAGGCAGATGTAAGCTGCCTTATGTTGACCTAAATGGGTAGTGTAGACCAGCCCTCAGATTGTAAGATTTTTGGGGCAGGAACCGTCTTTTTGTTCAGTGTTTGTATAGGGCCTAACACAATGGGGTCCTGGTCCATGACTGGGGCTCCTAGGCACAACAATAATACAAATGATAATAATGTTACTCTGGACAGTTAAGGTGGGAGGACTACCTGGTCTGCAGAAAGATGGTCAGGTCGCCTCAACCATAATAGTGTAAGCACTTGATGATTGTTAAATAAGAAAACCAACTTATGATAGGTGTTAAAGAAAAAAGATATCCCCCCCTTCCCATACCCATTTTCAGGGCTCTCATTTTGTTGCTAGAAGGAGGAACAGATGGTTCCCTCAACACCACCTGCTGTCACATGGTGTGGCACTCCCCTCCCCATCTTTTCAGAAATCAAGCATCCTAGTTCTAACATCTCAGTCTCCAAATGAGATTAAAGCACCCAGTCCCAAACTCAAATCCTTCATTGTTACAGACTGCGAAAAGATGCTTCCTCTTGTGAAACTGCCCACCCATTATCCATGCTATTGTGTAAGTTTTCACTGAGCATTTAGCAAACCCAAAGACATAACTGGAGAAGGTCTCCAACCATATTTACCTCGTCCACAGAAAAGGCAGCACAGAGGACAGACATCCTTAAGGCCATTGATGATGAAGATACCAGATTGTTTCATTGCTTAACTGTGGACCAAAGAGAGGGTTGAGCTGGGCCAGGATCGCAATCAGCCAACTGAAAGAGGGGGAAAAAAAAGAAGACACATAAAAGTATGGATGACTTGGCCAAAGCATAAAGGGTATCAGGAGAAGGTAAGACAACATTGCAAAAGGTCTAACACCAAGTCAAAATGCTGCTAAGGCTAAACTCCTAAAAGTCTGACACAGATGAAAGAGCTCTAGCACTGTATTACACCTCAGAAGACTAGCATGTTTGGACTGAGAACTATCTTGTTCAATTTAAAGTGACACTGTCAGTTGGATTTAATAGTTTCTTCTTGAAAGGTGAAGCGCTCTGGGACACATTCCCATCCTCTGGGCCCATGTTCCAACAACACTGCCTCCAGAGCTACTCAAGGCCTCTCTGAATGGCAGTACAAGGCACGGAGCGTTACTAAAGCACATCACCTTCCAAATAAGGAGTATGCGTCTCATTTACTTTAACCATAACTGTGCCAAAATGTTTAGATATACAGAATATACATGAAATTTGAATTGAAGCAGAACCTCTTTTATACCAATAAACATTACAACGAAGATTAAATTGAGGGATGGAAGTACAATCTAGCAGTTAAAACGAAGGAACAGGAATTGGAAAATTCCTGACCTACTATGCAACATTGGCCAAATCACTTAATCTCTGTGTCTGAGACATCCCCCCCATAAAATCAGAGATACTAGGCTTGGCTTTACAAGGAACATTACGATCCAATAAAAGGTCTTAATGAAATGTATTGAACACTTTCAAACCACCAGCCCCCAATATAATTCTTGTAAGAATAAAAATAGAACAAATTTAGAACGGAAGTCAGAGAAATGGGTGTCTAGATCAAAGAGGTGCAAAGCTACTGAAACAATGTCAATGACAACAAAATCCAGATTAGCAGCAGCCTCTCCCTCAGAGCAGCTGACAGACTAACTCAGCAGAAACCACAGCCAGAATGCAGAACAAGAGGAATCTGGGATGTGGAAAATATCCAGGCAAGCTGAACAGAAATAAATATTTCAGTATTATAAGATGTACTTGCTTTGGCTTTTTCTGAATTTGTAATATTGACAAAGAAACCTTATTTTCATGGATTTAGATCTATGTAAAATACTAACGATATAAACATGTTTAGTGAACATACTGACCTATCCATCTGCTCTTTGTAGACTCTTTGTGAGGAGGAGAAAAAGCAGAGCAGCTTTGACTGGGAGCTGCCACAAAATGCATCAAAGTGCTTAGGCAGTCATGGAAAATTCCACATAAACCTGGATGCTTTAACAAGCAAATGAAGTGCAGGTCAGATCAGCTTCAAAATGGCTACAGAAGCCTTAGGCAAAAGATGCAGGGTTAGATAAAAGGAAGGTCAATCCTCTTGGCACTGACAAAATAAATATTTGTAAATTTTAGTGTTGCTTTTAGGGGGGTTTATTATTATTTTAAACACTAAGATTAAGTAGGACACTAGCTAAAGTCAAGCAAATGCTGTGCCCATAGTATGCTAACAACCCCTCACTCCTCACACATTCAATAGTATTCTGAGTGTAAATCAACAACTGAGGCCAGTCACTCATGCTGATATGCACAATGGATATTATGAAGTGGGTAAATGTCTACTCAGGACCAGTAGGAAAATAGCAATTCATTCTCACTTGTAAACTGAAGAGCCAGAATACTTATTTTGTTATCCCTAGCTACTGCAGGGAAAGGGTCGCTCAGCATCACACACATTATGTTGAACTTAGCCTAATCCTTTTACTATATCAAGCAAATCCCTCAAGTGTTCATTGATTTGATAGAAATTCTCCCCTCCATCACCAGAACTCTATGTGTAGCCCACTTACAAGTTATTTTTCAGATACAAAAGGCAGATTAGAGGGGTACCAGAGTGCATTGTACTAACTGTCATTAACTTCCTGAACTAACACAGGCGGGGGGGAAGGACAGAAACAGTTGATTGCTGTAATAGGATAATTTGCCTCTTTACACTGTGCAGAGAAAGGAACCCCAGACACCAACATACATGCCCAGACCTCTCCCTATGTTCACTGAGATCAGACCCAGAACTGCTGTGAAATAAATGAGCTGGAAGTGCATTCTGAATATTGACATGTCCACAGCTGTACAATTAGGCTCTAGGCAAACACTGTACTGGTTTCAAAAGCTATTTGTTAGGACCATGCTGTTTACCGAACTTCTGAAGCGCAGTGCCATTACAGATTGTTCTTTAGCTTCATTACTTCCCTGCAGTGCTGGGGGTCTGATCACTGAGAACACAGTAGTAGAAGGTAGGGGAGCACAGGGTTCAGTGCTTTGAAAGACAGAACTGTGGAAAGCTTCTCCACACACATTTATCTTACACAGGGCTGCTTTACACGAAACTCTATCAGAGCATAATAAAGTAAACCTCTATATCCAACATCTAATGTTTTAGTGCTGTTACATTCCACATGCTACCTCCTGCAACAGTCAGTGTTAATTATCATGCTAACTCAAAGAAATGATGGTCCATCATGATCAAGTATAACCATGTCATTTTATTACTGTATAGACTTCAGAGCAATTTTTATTCTAATTCCATTCTAATGGGCTGAGCACTACAATCTGTCTCTCTCTATAGCGGAGTAAGAGCTCAGGTTCTGGTTTCTATTTAGATTCCAGTTTGGGTAATTACAGTCAGCCCACCCAGAATTCTCCTGCAGATGCAACTGATGGAGTGTTCCAAACTCTCTATTCTGAATCACTGGGTACTACTGCTGTGTGCTCCTACACAGATAATATCTTCTACCTCAGAGGTGGCTTCGGTGATCTCAAAATAGATGTGGCGGAGCACCCTGGGTCTTTGATGGAAGGAATTACAGAAAGAAAAACTTCTTATCGAAAAGACAATAGGAAAAAAAGACCTGGAATGGACATTTCAGGCTTTGCTGGTACAGCTTTATGAGCTAAGATTATTACAAAAATGGAACAATTTTCTTCTGTTTAAAAAAGAAAAAGAAAGAAAGAAAGAAAGAAAGACTACCACTACATACTCTGCTTTGAGTCTCACCATGCTCCTGAGGTTTTGGTTACACTTCTTTTAGCAAGGTACAGCATACAGCACATGCACAAAAGGATATACAGTAAATTGTGTAAAGTTTCCCATAAAGCAACCAAATTTGTACAGCACAGTCAATAAGCTTAATTTGGATGACCCCTACCAACTCCACACGGAGGAAGCCAGTTATTTTATTGAATGGGAATGACTGCTGTTTAATGGAGATTAAATTGGAATAAATTCAATTTAATGTGGATGTATTTGGCTAGTGCCAAGTAGTTAAGTGGAATTTAATAGTTACAAAACTGAACTTCATTAAGACTGGCACTATCAAAAGTTAAAAGAAATTATAATAATTTTTATACTTGCATTTTATTTAGTCCAGAATTTCTGGATAAAAGTTTTGTAAAAACTGTATGACGAGAAACAGCCACTTCAGCAGAGTGACAGGTCCTTGCAGGAGAATCTTAAGTACAGGGGACTACACTTGTGACAGTGCAGTTAACATCAAATTTGACTCTGATACCAATATAATAAATACTTTCACACAAAGAACCTTTCATCTGAAATCCCAAAGCTCCAATAGGATTAACAAATGGAATGTAAGTGCAACATTTCCAGAAACTATTTAAAAAAAAAATCCATAAATATGCAACACAAGGCAATTCCACCCTGGAGCATCAGAAGAGACATCAGTTCTCCTCCACATTTGTAAAAATAGAATCTAAATTCCATATGATTGACTGTGTATTCACTAAGCCACTTAGGCTTTGTCTACACTAGCACTTTTGTTGGCAAAACTTTTGCTAGTCACTCCACTGACCAAAATAAGTTTCACTAACAAAAGCGCAGGTGTGGATAGCGCTAGGTCGGCGGGAGACGCGATCTCACCAAGATGGCCACCGTTGCTCATTGGGGTGGTTTAATTATGCCAGTGGGAATGCTCTCTCCTGCCGGCATAGAGTGGCTACACAGGAGACCTTACAGTGGTGCAGCTGTAAGGTCCGTAGTGTACGCATAGCCTTAGACATCACGTATGAAGACTTTAGCTTCTTCCGCTTTTTCTTTTTTGCAGGGTGCAACTGAGAATGTCAGCAAATAAATCCTGGGAACATGTTTGACAATTTTAATAAATGCAAATAATCTATCCTTCATTCAATAACACACGAGAGCAGATTACAAGACGTTTTAATGAAGAGCAGTTTTATCACTGCCCTATTCCAGGTACAGCAATTGCTAACCTCTTTCAATACTTCCACAACCACCTTTTGTTTGAGGATTTCAAAGCATTCAATCAAGCCTCAGTCATTCTGTGAAGTAAATATCTCCATTTTACAGATAAGGAGTCTGAAGCACAGAAAAGTAAAGAACCTAGTTTCCAGGGATTCCGAGAACCTTAAGTTTCATTAACTTCAAGGGGAACTGCCTGTACTCAGTACCTAAAAAAAAAGCTAGCCTTAAGTGGCTTGTCCAAGACCACAAAGCAAATCAGTGACAGGGCCAAAGTCAGAAATCTGGAATCCCAATTCCTACTCTCCTCAAACTTTCTGTTTGATTTAAAATAAATAAATAAATCAAACTAGAAAGCAGAGACAAGCACAGTGCCTCAAAGCTAAATGGGCAGAATCACTGTGCCCCAAAGACCATCAAACACAGCAAAGAGTTACTAGTGTAAGTGAGGACTTTGCTTCTCAGTTTCACTTGTACACATGTACAGTAGATAGCAGTCTTGCCAGGGCCTACCTGATTACTTCACAATGCACTGGATCTCTACGAACCTGAGAAGCAGACTCAGTGACACTCCAAAATTCAAATTATTGGGACCACAGCACTGCTACTAAATACAAATAAACAAGCCATTCACATTTCCCTAGAAAGAGGCAGTATGCTTCCTCTATTAGGAGCTCTGAATCTCTCTAAAATCAAGATGCTACAGCCATATTATGCTCCTCTTCTTTCAAATCATAATTTACTTCATCTGCTCATAGTCTAAATGTAATTTTCATGGTGAAATAAAAGGAACACATTATGGATATTTAATCTGGCAAATATTCGTGTTTACACATAGAATCTAAGGAAGTTGGATAAAGATGCCTCCAGTGACTTTCTATATAATCACCTTCATGAATTCACAGCAGTTAAGTGTATGAGTGTGTGATTTCATTAACATTTTGTGGAATACAATTCCCACATATGCCAGCTGAAAATTCATCAGTAGAGGCTTCTCATTACACTGCATCCAGTAATTCTCTGACAGCCAAGTCTTGGTCTAATTTAAGTATTAAAATCTACTCTTAGGCATTTCTTAGAACACCCAGCTTCCCCTACCACAATTAGTACTTGCTTTCCACAAGTACAAGACAGCATGGTCCAGGTACTCATCCTTAAATAGGCAGATACCCACACAAGAAATAGCTTAATATAAATGTTAAGTTATCTATTTGATGGCATGCATCAAAAGCCCTAAGGGTATGTTCTGCTGTTCAGCCAGTAAGTCAAGTTAGGTTAGTATATATTTTGTGAGAGCATAACTATGTTACTAGGTGGTTATTCCTATATAAACTGCAAGTGCGACGGACAGGGCTCCCAGTGCTTATGTGCAGACACCTTTTCATATTTAAATATAGATTTTTTTTTAAAATGGCTTTTTTAAAATAGGATATGTCCTGGTCTAGCATGTTTTTAAAAGTCAGTCAGGAGGCAGATTCCATAAGGCTTCACATGTGAAATACTTCAGGCCTGTTTAACCATAAATAGAAACTGGACCTTGCTTGTATAAAACCTGCATATCACAGCATTCAACCAAGCTAAACCCACACAAGCTCGTGTCCCAAGCCAGCTCAAGATGGAACAAGACAGATCTTACTTTAAACATGCCATGTACTACAAATAATGCAGACACTAAAAATATGGCTTTGTGCTGCCAATCCCTGCACTCAAAATCCCAGAAATTGAGATATATCCCTCTAAGAGGTTATTTATATTAAGCTCATCACCATGGTATGTTATGAGTGATGGTTTGCAACTAGAGAATGTGTGAACACTCCCAATGTTCGGTCATTGAATTATGAACAAGTCACCTAGCAAGTTGTACCCACAACAGGTATGTCAGTTTACTGTCTGTACCAGTCTGTACTTGTAGAAAAAAAAAAAAAAAAAAGTGCTGTGTAGAAATGGCCTGAAAGATATTTTGATCTCAATTACAAGGCCCTATCAAGAGGAAGAAATCATTTCACAGAATTAAGGGTTTTTACTGCAGACTGTACCTATAACTCATCCATTTATTGACAAGAAAAGATGATATAGGAAGCAAAAAGGGTTGCAAAGTGTTCACAGGAGCGCAGAAGCTGCTCATTAGGTGGCTAAGAAAGAATTGTTATTAATACCATAAAATAAGGCGTAATCAAGGAGCACAGTATTGATTTCAGTGGAAGTCAAGGGCTCTTAGCACCTCAAAGGATTTAGGCATAGTTGACCTGCCACTCTATCATAGTAGGTACACACAAACAGTTATTACAATTAATACAAATTATTCGAGAACTGAGAAACCCTCAAGAGGCTTGAGCTGAATAACTCAAGGTCTGTAGAACAGAAAGCAATAGCCAAGATAAATCAATATAAAAGTACTAAGACTTTGGGTATAAGTCAGAGAATAACACTCATCCAGACTCATTTAAATATATTATCCACTAACGGGAATTTTTTCAAGATTGCTGAAGATATTTAGGAGCATGAGTTCCACTGACTTTCAAAGGGAGTTGTGCTCCTAAATCCCTTTGGTGCTCTGAAAATTTCCCCCTAAACATTTATTCACTGAAGAGGCCTTTTTCATTTTATAAGCTGTGCCATTATTAGGAGGGAAGCATTATTTATACTTACAAGAGGTAACAGCAAACAGCACAGGTCACCAGCATCGTGTTGATAACACTGCAGAAAGAAATAGGAAAAGACAACTGATTAAGAGTCATAGGCACAGAAAATAAACCTAAGAATGCATTTGGCTTTGATCACATGCAAGGTGACTCAAAATATGAATGTTCTCATGACAATCTAATTTCTTGTAATGTAACAGTATAATTAGAAGATAGATGTGCCTCTCTAACCTAGGACTCTGCACAAACTTAGTTTGCCATTTGCAAATAAAAGCATCTCTTTTTTTTGTAGTATAAATATTTAAATACAAAGCACAAGACCATACAGCCTTGTCTAAAAAGACTTCCAAAGAGAAGATCTCATGTAATAAACTTCCTTCTTTGTTACAATTGTTTCTATATAGTAAATCAGAACCAAATCCTAAAGCACCTTTTCTGTTAGATTTATACGTGAACACCCAAAGGCACAGTATATAGAATTCTTCATCTGGACACTCTGTTTGCAGAAAGTCTCACTGAAAACCACGAAATTAAGAGCCAATTATTTTGTTTAAAGTGAATCCTGTTGACTGTAACTATTGTAAAATTAAAGATCTTCAAAGGACAAACAAAATCTTGGAGATAATATGACGGTTGCCCAGAATGGGAAGATCCTTATTGGAGGGGATTGTCAGAACAGGTGTTACTAAAATGATAATAAAGCAACTGAAGCTGTAGCGGTAAAATCGTAGCTGAACAAACATTTCAAAATCCCATATAGATGGGAAAATTATGTTTTCCAAGAAGGAGTCATATGTTCTGACCATGTAGCTCAATGGAAGATGGGTATTCTGTGTCATGACTTTTTTTTTTTTTAAATAAAAAAGAGGAATTCCTCTATATGTAGGTTTTTAGTTCTGTAAGAAGAGTTCAACCTAGATAATAAAAATCCTAATCAGCACTGGAAATAGGTAGATCAAGTAACTTGCTTTGGCTTTTCAAGCTATAAAATACATAGATCTGCTCATAAATAGTAACTTTAACATTAATGCTGGTGTTTCTAAAAAGTAAATTAAAGCACAATACAATTATAATGTATACAGTATCTTTCAAATACATTGTACAAGAAACTTTAGAGATGCAAAACAGTGAATGGTCTATATATTATATACAAGAAGACAATGGTGGTGTTAATTGGGCAAATAAATTATTCAATTCTTGCAGCCACAGCATCATAGGATGGAGGTGTGGGGGGCAAAGTAGCAGCCCCTCCTCCTCCCTGTTGCTCCTGGATGCACTGCCTTGGTGTTGGTTGCTTGGGCTGCCAGCAAGGGTTGGACCCTGCCCCCCTCTGGAGACACCTGGGGCACACACTGGAGCAGCAGGTGAGTTCCCCACCTTCCCAGGGGTGGTGGGGCTCAGCCTCTGGGCTTCAGCCTCAGGCTTCGGGCTCCATCCCTGGGCCCCATCCTCCAGCTGCAGGGCTTTGGGCTCTGGCTGCGGGGCTTCAGGCTTCAGCCCCCCACTGCCTCCCCCACCCACCCCCATCACCCCTGCTGCCTCCCGCGACCCTCCATTTGGGGCTTCATTTGTCCCCAGGCTTGCCAGAGCTGAGTAAGTCTGCTGTGTAAAGTGAAACTTATATGTTTGTTAGTATCACTTTGCACAGCAGACTTACTAGCTAGCAATAAATAAATTGCAATGATTTGGACATGTATTTGTGCACATTTATAGGGTTTTCCCAAAGCTAATTAAGTATTTTAGAAAAGGTATGACAGCAGCTACCAGCAAGAGTTGGTGGCCGCACTCTGAGGCCGCCAAAAAATTTGTCCTGAGAAACCCTGATGATAGGTGCTTATGTGCCCCTTCATCCTAAGAGCGGACTTGCCCCTTCCCAAGTACATAAGAACAGAACAGCCACATCTTATGATTTGGTGGATAAATACAGGGAGAGCATTCCAGTCAGCAGGATGTACAGAGAAAAATGTTCCTGTGTCATTAAAAGAAGCTGAACAAATCTACACTGTAACAGCAGCTGCATATGGGGTCTCAGGCTCAGTCCCCGCAGATGGTCAGCGATCACAGGAAAGCAGCACATTAGTCCGCGCCCCCCATCACATGACTCTGCTCAGGAGGGGCAAGTCACACACATTCAATCAGACACAAAAAATAAATAAAAAGGGAACTACGATGAGCAAGTGGCACAAGACCACTTCTGTCTGCGCCACTGAGATGCAGCAGGACCCCCACCCCTGGGACGGCTGCTGTATTATAGGAGGGTCGAGATACTCATTGCCAAGGGCCCTTCGCTGGTTTTACCGACTATGCCCTGCCCAGGTGCCCGAGTGAGAGGATCCCTACAGGCTTTACCGGGGTAACGGGACGGGAGACCCAGCCTGGGGAGAGCTGAAGGGGGAAGGCCCCGACGCCCGTTCTCCAACTGAAATCGAAGAGGACAAGAGGCCCCAGGGGAAGAAAGAGCCAGACCCGCTCCCCGGGTGCGGGGGGCCACGGCGGCCACCACAGCAAGGCCAGACTCACAGCGCTGCCTCAGGAGCCTTCTTCCCCTCACAGCCCCCCCACCCCCCAAGGAGCGGCGCCCTGCCCTGCCCAGTCAGGGTAGGGGGGACACGGGGTCAGCTCCCCACGGGACCGGCTCCCTCGTTGGAGCTCTCCGCCGCCGGAGGGAGGGTAGCCGGGTGGGTGGCCGACACTCTCCAGCCCTGGACGGGGTCGGGGTCAGGGTCCGCTCCGCTTCTCTCCCGGCGGCCCATCACTCACCCACGGTTGGGCCCCTTGGGCACCAGCCAGGGCAGGATGCCGCCGACTATCCCCCAGAAAACGCTCATGACGATGATGGGCACAGTGAGGCCGCCGTACGCCATGGCTGGGCTGGGGGCTTCACTCTGGCACACTCGCGACAGCACCACTCCGCGGTCCCCCTCAGCTCGGAGTCGGCCCCCACCACAGCTGCTCGCGGAGCCCCGCCCCAGCCCCGCCGACCAACCAGCGCCCGGCACGTGACATTGGCTTGAGCCCGCCCTCGCCCGGAACCCGCGCTCAACCCGGCCCGAAGTAGGGCGAGGCACGCGCGTGCCCGGGACGGGGCTCGCGACGTCTGCGCGGCTGGCTTAGCGAGGCCGTTCGGCAGTTCGAGGCCCCGCCTTCCGGCCTGGCGGGCGTCCCTGCGCACTTTTGGCTTTGTGTTCTCCCCACCTCCCCCAGCAGGACACCCCGGTTTCCCGGCACCGCCCTTGGGAATAGCTGGTGCCTACGGCTCCGCAGCCACCACCTGCGGGATGGAGCTCAGGCCTCCTGCAGCACAGCGCCAGTCCAGTTTGGGGGTGGTGCAGGCGGCCGCTAGGCCTCGCCCGGCGACTTCCTGATACCTTTCAGCGAGAGAGGTAAGGCGGGCAGTCCCCCAGCACCGCTGGAGGACAGAGCAGGGCAGGCTCCAATCGCCAAGCCCGCAACCCCGCTGCTCATTCCTCACTGCACATCTACAGGAGGCAGAGGGAGCAGATAGATTCCCACTGCCTGGCCGTGCGAAGCAGGCCCTATGGACTCTAGGCTTAAACAAGAAAGGGGACCCCACCGTGCCAGGAGCTGTAGGAGTAGAGGAGGGCAAGCTGTACCCTCGAGAATTGAGTTTAAAACAAGAAGCCCGAAGAAATGGAACAGCTAGCGAAACTCTTCTAAGGGTGCGCTCAGCTGCAGGAGCATCAAGTCCAATTGCTTTGTCCGTGTGAAGTGGTTTCAGCTTAGATTCTGCATTTCAAATCTTAGATTGTAAGGGCAAAGACTGTACTTCTGTACAGCACCTCCTGTAGCAAAGGCCTTATCTGACCCCATAACAAAACTGATGGGCCTTTGTTTATACAGCACACATAGGACTATATATACATTTGGAGAATGTGAAGATAATCCTATCACACTCATATCAGTGGAAAAGCGGCCCTTTGGTCTAAAGCAGTGATTAGAACAAGTAACTTGGGATTCACTTCACAGACCTCACTCTGCCTCCCTGGACGACTTTGCATTTCACTTTCTCCCTCTAAAATTTGAGATAAATACTGTTTCAAAACATGCTGTGAAGATCCAAGGATAGAGGTGGACTAGTTGTTTTGCTAAAATAGTGGAAATACTCTTCCCAGAAGTTATCCAACATGGCCATGTCAATAGAGTTGATCCATTCCCACATGAACAGAAACTAAAGTAGATTAAGCACTGTGTTTGTACGTGTGGAAATAGGTCTACAAGGGTATGTCTGTACTAGCCATGCCAGCTGACTGGCCATTCCAGCTGACTTGGGCTCAGGCTAAGGAGCTGTTTAATTGCCTTGTAGATGTTCCAGCTTGGGCTGGAGCCCAGGCTCTAGGACAGTGAGATGGGAGGTCCCAGAGCTCAGGCTCATCTATCTCTGCAGTAGACAGCCACATAAGCCCAGTCAACTTGCACAGGCCAGCCATACACTGCAATGTAGACATTCCTAAAGAGACTAGGATGAAGCCTCAATTTATGCAACAGTCTCCAAATTATTAAACACATTCCAAATTAATCTTTCCTCTGGATTCTCACTGCTTCCCATATTTTAGATGGTAAATCTTCAAGGCAGGGGCCGGATTTTTTGTCCAAGCTTATCAGTGATTGATAAGTCATTCGCTATGCCAGTTAGCCATCCAGTAAAAGTGAACTGTTTTCACCAGTCTGCAACAGCTTTCAGTCATTTCTATTACATTCATGTCAAAGCTCATGGAATTATGTTTTACTTACATAAATTCTCAAAAATAGCTAGAACAGACAACTACTGGTAGAATTTCACAAAGTGCTGAAAATGAGGGAAGCCTCTTCTCAAACTTCAGTAATAATTTAAAGGCACATCACAACTCAGTAACTGCACAGAACTAAAATAAAGCTACCACAACAGGGTACTTTAATACCTTGGTCTGTCTTCTTTTACTTCCACTTCATTATATGCCAGTGTAAAACTAATATGCAGACAAGTCTATTTACTTCTTTGAAGACAAAAGTTGGCTCGTGCAAGAGCCTGTGGTTGCAAGCGCTGCACTCATCTGCCTTGAAAACAACACTTTGTAGACTAAAAACATGACCAATTTCTCCCACTTATTTTGCCAAGTATGTGATACTTCAAACCAAATAACTTACGTTCCTTCATGGTTTTATACATGTCTTAAAGTTTCATTTATAGAGATGGAGAGGAGAAAAAACCCAATATATGCACTATTTATTCTAGCCACATGTGCTTTCTCCCCAGTTGTCCTTACAGCCTCCCCCCTGCATCAACTCTTGCTACTATTCTTGATTTCTTGGATTGTAAACTCTTAGGTATAGCGTCTGTCTTTACTGGCTTTGTAAAATGTCATACACATCTCTTGTACTACATAAAGGAATACAAGAACCAATGTGCATGCATGGTGAGAAGATACTAAATCTGCTTTAACCAATTTAAAGCATCCAATGGATAAAAGAAGTGTTCTTTTAATTAGTAGAAGTGCTTTTCTGAGCATCCAATATTAACATGTGAAAGTGGTATGAAGAATAACACCAATCCAGACAGACTGTACCAACGCTTCCAAAAGTAGAACACACAACAATAGGTTTCATTTTAGCAGTTCTTTTAATGGGTGACACACAGGAGACCATTTATTCTTGCATCTTTTCAATGGTTTCTTCCTTGTATTTGCCCTTTTCCTTGCCAACTTGGCGAGACTTTGCTTTGCGTTCCAAGATCTTTTTGCGATCCTTGTCCAGTTTTAGCCTAGTGATCACCACCTAGAGAAAAAGGAGAAATAATAAAAATCTGTAATATTAAAACAAACTCTGGCAGAGAACTGTACCATCCTAACACCTTGGGAGTATCACAGTTAAACCTACTGGCATTATTAAATTCCCAGCATTATCATTTAATTTGATTAGAGTTGTAGCTCAGATATTGCTGTTCTTGCACATTTCAAAACTATATAGGATTCTAGGATAATGCAAATTAAAATTTTTTTCTATTGTCCCTCACAAAAAACAAAACAAACAAACAAACAGCCCACAAATGCTTCACAGATCTTTTAGAACTGCCTCCCCACTGACAGTCAGGTCCTCTTAATACACAGCATATGAGAACTAGCGGAAAGGAACAAGAGGCATTAATCTGAGTTTCATGTGAATTGGAAAACTGGAACACAAAGGCCAGCACGCTGAACAAGCTCTAGAATTGTGTGTATTCATGGACTAAAATAGACGAAGTAGGTGGGGTAATATCCTGGGTTCAACATGTCTGCATATAACAATGGACTGAAATAGACATATATTCAGGTACTTGGGAATTGATAGCCCTAGTGTGCTGTGATAAATTGAACTGATAGATTTTACTTTTAAACTTGTCTTAGCTACAGGTAGACGTTTTGTGGGTGCTAAGGTTATTGCGAACCAGCCAGCCAAAGGACAAAATTATCACTGAGATACATAAGTTTATTGCTTGTATTATTGTTATACCTGCAGACCCCAATCAGGGATTGAGGTTCAACCAGATGCTATACAAAATATGTGGCTTATGGCTAAAAAGACTATATGCTTTAACCCTTTCCCTGCTGTTCCCTCACTGCATCTGCTCTACTATCCAGAGTTTTCCTCAAAGTCTTAAAGAATGTTATCTGATAAACAAATATGCAAATGTAAAATTCACAACTTGCATCAAGCTGGGATATATAGAATTTGAAGCTAGTGGCCATTACACCATCTAAACTGACACCATATTTGCAGAACTGAAATGGATTACAAGTAATGATCACACCTTCAGAGAGCTTCCTTCACCATTCACTAGCATAAGTACCAAAAATAAGCAACTTAAGCAAAGGTGTCCACAGTAACAACTCCCTCTTTACAGGGCACATGAGATATCCCCATAATTTTGGAAAACACTGCTGCTGTTGGCTGTGCTATTGGTTTAGCAACAAAATACTTAGCATGGCCAATCCATTTATTCAATACAGAATATTTTCAAAATATAAACAATACGTTGACCAGTTTAAAGACAAAGATTATAAATAAAATAGGTTAAAGAAAAGTAGCAATAACTGATGGTCAATATAATTTCATACTTATACTGGGTCTATACAAATAAACCATTCAACAGAGGACCATCTTGGGCAGTATATCATAGGTAGATTCTCAAACATTTCGATTAAAGGTGGCTTTCTTGTAATTATAAATCTGCATTTCCCATGCTCCAGCCTTGAATAAAGTTCTCTCTTTTAGAGATTCACTAAATAGCACAACCAGCCCAAGATCAGCAAACGGCATTGTTTGTACACTGTACAGTTAAATATCTTTCAAACCAAGTTCAGCTCTGAGTCTGTTAGCAAGTTAAAGAATAGCACTAAAATCGTCCCATGTTTGCGTAGTGGATAGAAAGCATCTGGGAAATAATACTAATGGAAAAAGTTTGTCATGCAAACAGCAGACAACATTCCAAATACAATTTTACTGGTCCCCTTTCTTGGAATGCAAGAGCCATCAACCTGTGTGTGCTGTGCTGTAAACATATGACTGCTGTCAGAAGGTTGCAGTCTGGCCAGGCAGTTATCAAATCTTATTAACACATGGGTACATTAGTGATTACTTGCCATGCTCAATTTGCTTCCAGATTCCTGAAGTTATTTCATAATAAGACAGTGATACACACAAGAGTTTTCAATGGGCACCTTAGTTTCCAGACCCTTGCAGCAGCCTACTACTTTTCTGCCTTCCCAACTGGCAAGGAAGTAACAGAACTGGATTAAGCAGTGCTAAAAGAACAATAAGCAGTGCTAGAAAAAACAGATACATAAACCCCTAAATTTGTGAAGTAGTGAGTTAATGAGATATCTACTGTATCTCCCATCAAGCAATATTTGGATACTATTTGCTTTTAAAAAATGCAACTCTGGGATCTAGTTCTAATACATCCGCACAGATCTGAAGTAGGGCTGTACAATCTAGCCAGTATTCATTCTGCTCCTGCCAGCATTGAAGAAATAAATGCAACATCAATGGGACAAGAGGAGGAATCCTCCTGCTACAGTGAGAGGCAGAAAACTGCAGAATTCCTGCTATCCCCCTAGAACAGCGGTTCTCAAACTGTGGGTCATGACCCAATTTAAAAGGGGTTGCCAGGGCTGGCATTAGACCAGCTGGGGCCCAGGCTTGGGGATGAAGCCCGACGGGGCTCAGGCAGACTCAGGCTTTCATCACCCCTCTTGGGGTCCTGTAGTAATTTTTGTTGTCAGAAGGGGGTTGCAGTGCAATGAAGTTTGAGAACCCCTGCCCTAGAAGTTTACTACATAGCCAGACTGTCCTTTTTCCTCTTTTGTATATGCAGCTGGTAATTTCCTTATGGAAACAGAGCTTCCTTAGGAGACACTGCTTTCTTGGTGGGTGGCCCAAGACTGGAATTAACTCCTAAAGGAACTAAGGACCATTAGAAAACTCATTAACTTTCCACTCTTAAGTACAAATCAACATCTTCCTGGGGGGTGGGGAGAAAGAATGACAGATGTTAGTCATTTTGCTTAATGCACTATTGGAAGACACACAGCTACTATAATGATGAGTGTGCAAAAAGAACATACATTAGAATAGAATGGTAGATGTGATGCATTAGAGATGAGGTCTTATTTCCACTGTGTAGAGTTTTGTGGTGGAACCCATTAGCTCAAACCCAGTCTCTGGGCACAAAACTGTGTTCTTTGGATATAATTCTGTTCCCCTCTATCACATACAGTTTGTTAGAGGTTTCAGAGTAACAGCTGTGTTAGTCTGTATTCGCAAAAAGAAAAGGAGTACTTGTGGCACCTTAGAGACTAACCAATTTATTTGAGCATGAGCTTTCGTGAGCTAAGCTGGGTTCATTCAAAACTACCCTTGCCTGGTCAGTGTGGGCCAGACAAAAGTCTTGTTATATCTGCTTCAAACTAGGTTTCTAGCTAGGTTTGCTGTTATTTCATTAGTTCCCTAATTATTCTTAAATGCCTGTCTATGACCAGCAAAACAAGCATTTTCTTCATCTTCACTGAATATAAACCGCCTTAAACCATGTTAGGCTGAAGCCAGATTCAACCAGCAATATTTTTCTTGGCAGCAACTCCTTCATTTATGGAGGTGTATTTAGATATTTCTAATGCGTCCATCAGAGTGGCAGAAATGCCATACGGGAAGGCTGAAGGATGGATCAGATCAATCCACAACGTATGACAATCCCATTTTCACCACTGAAGAGGACTGGTGTGTGTGTTGGGAGGGGCAGGGGGTGTCCCCCAATATGGCAGTTACTACAATGTGGATGTGCGCTTAACAGTACTTTTGTTTTTAAATAACCAAGCTTTTTGGACATTTTACAAAATGTTTTAGCCTTTCACAAGACCCTGCAGTTCAGATGCAAATAATTTCTTCATGGTCAATCAATTCACAGCAGGAAACAACCCCAAAATTCGGGTTCCTACTTCCCTGCTGCAACTAGGACATTCCCTTACTGTATAGTTATGCCAGTGCTACGGCTTCTCAAAACTACTGTGTGTGCTAGGACAGCACTCTACTTCTATAAACTGCACCTATTTCCAAAGCTAACAGAAATTCCTTTGGGGAATTTCAGTTCCCATGCACGTATTATACCTTGCTAGGATGGATTCCAACATGGACTGTTGTGCCGTTGGCCTTCTCACGCTGTACACGTTCAATGTAGATGACGTATTTTTTTCTGTATACCTGGACTACCTTGCCGATTTGCTGGCCTTTATAATGTCCCCGGACAACCTGACCAAAAAAAACCAGAGCATTTAACTTTCTCAGATTTCACAAATTCAGTCTCAGACATAGATAATAGTAAGATCTTCACAGGCTGAAATCCCACCTTTACCCCTTGTGTGCAACATTACAGTGAGATCTCATATATTGCTCATAGTATGAGCAATATAATGTTCAGCTAGATATAAAATATTATGGAAAGGAAGCGTATTTCTCCTTCAGTAAATTAGATTCAGTGAACTCTAAACTGCTTGAAGTTTAAATTATTAAAGGGCTCCTTTTTCTGTATCTGTCCTGTTTGAGGCCTGTAACCAAGTATGACAGGTTTCAGAGTAACAGCCGTGTCAGTCTGTATTCGCAAAAAGAAAAGGAGTACTTGTGGCACCTTAGAGACTAACCAATTTATTTGAGCATGAGCTTTCGTGAGCTACAGCTCACTTCATTGGATGCATACTGTGGAAAGTATAGAAGATCTTTTTATATACACAAAGCATGAAAAAAATGGGTGTTTACCACTACAAAAGGTTTTCTCTCCCCCCACCCCACTCTCCTGCTGGTAACAGCTTATCTAAAGTGATCACTCTCCTTACAATGTGTATGATAATCAAGGTGGGCCATTTCCAGCACAAATTCAGGGTTTAACAAGAACATCTGGGGGTAGGAAAAAACAAGGGGAAATAGGTTATCTTGCATAATGACTTGCATATTTCCCCTTGTCGTCCCCCCCCCCACACACGTTCTTGTTAAACCCTGGATTTGTGCTGGAAACGGTCCACCTTGATTATCATACACATTGTAAGGAGAGTGATCACTTTAGATAAGCTATTACCAACAGGAGAGTGGGGTTGTGGGGGGGGGGGGGGAAGCTGCTGTAGCTCACGAAAGCTCAAGCTCAAATAAATTGGTTAGTCTCTAAGGTGCCACAAGTACTCCTTTTCTTATTGTAAGGAGAATGATCACTTTAGATAAGCTATTATCAGCAGGAGAGTGGGGTGGGGGGGGGGAGAGAAAACCTTTTATAGAGGTAAACACCCATTTTTTCATGCTTTGTGTGTATAAAAAGATCTTTTATACTTTCCACAGTATGCATCTGATGAAGTGAGCTGTAGCTCACGAAAGCTTATGCTCAAAAAAATTGGTTAGTCTCTAAGGTGCCACAAGTACTCCTTTTCTTGTAACCAAGTATGGCTCTCAAAACACTTGTCTTCCACACATTTTTTTCCTTGAGATCTCCCCCACCATAGCCTAGCCTGCTATGAGATTAACTCCAAAGCCCTAACAGCTATTTAAAGTTGTCTGGCCCATCTCTCCTGCAGAGATTCTACATAAAACAAGATGTCCACAAGACTCAAATTTCACAACAAAGACTAAAATGGCACCTACCTGGACTTCGTCATCTTTTCGGATTGGCATAGAGCGGACATTGTATTTCTGCCTTAGCTCCTTGGAAAGGGGGGAAGACATGATCTTCCTGCGAATGTGAGAGGGTGCATTGAAGTGCCTCTTGCGGTTCTTGCTGCGGTCCGAGGTCACAAAAGGATTGAACTTCATTTTGGCTGCACAAAGAAACATAAAATTGAAACTCTGAGGCATTTATAGCAAAAACAAGCTTGGTGTGAAATTCTGCATATATTAGATATGACACAGTTCCAACTAGATTTCAACAAAATCCTGTAGGCACTTACTTTAGTTTCCATCCACAAATCTCTAGCTTGCATTAACACAAACCTGGGTTTGCAACAAGGTTATATAGCATGTTCCCATACCAATGTGGTGAGGGAGTTCTTCCTGAAAAAGCATACTATAAACAATCACCCTGACAGTCTATAGCACTACTTCTGACCCAAAACTCACTGTGTACACCAGTCAGGAAAACTGTGCTAGCAATAACCATAATTAAGCATGGTGGTTGTAACCAGCACAGTTCTATTTCCATTGTGGCCATAACCTAGATATTTGAGGGGGCTTGCATCATTTTGTATGCTTCTATTAAAGAGAAAAATTAAGGTTTAGAGAATATAGCAGTCCTGTAATTCAAGTATGTCTTGGAATTTTAGCACGACGTTTGTGACACCCCACAATATCAGTAACGTCACATAGCAGCTCAGTGTTTTAAAGGCATATTAAGCTCTCGGTGATAGAAACATGTGCCCTCTACCTGCCTATGCTCAAATCCGCGTTCCAATTTGCAGTGAGTTGCACATGAGTACAAGACAGGGCTTTGAAACAACCCAATTAAAAATCAGATACTGGACACTGAGGCTTAGTGCTGGCCAAGCTCAGTGGCAGGTGAGAGAGCATGGAACTAAACAAGAGGCAGGAACAGCAGGCCGCAACATAAAAGCTCATCAGCAGAAAAAATACAGGAAAGGAGAGATCAGGAAGAATCAGTTACAAAAACTAAGTATCACAACTGAGGCATACAAGTGACGGGAATCTGGGGTCTACGAGTACCACTCAGAACAGCCTCCAACGTGCACATTTTTTAAATACTCCACCAGACATGACATAGGAGCGAGGGGTAGCAGAATCTTGGGTTGTTTATGTGCCGCCTCCACCCCAAAATAGGGGCAGCATCTCCCTCTCCGGGGCCGACACCTCGGGAGATGTGCAGCCTCCCACCGTCTCACCGCGGAGAAATAGACTATACCGTGGGGCCTTTAATCTCGGCTCCCCGCCTCGAGTCATTTCCCCAACAAGGGGGTTGCTAGCAGGTCTCCCCGAAAAAGGCCAGGCCCCCAGCAGGTGATCGCTCCCGGGGCAATGGGGACACGGGTTGCTCGCTGTGCTTTCCCTCCACCACCCTCCCATTCCCTATTGGGCGCAATCCCACCCTCACCAAGGCCCCAGGCATCTTCTGCAGCCGGGAGCCGCCTCCTGCCCCGCCAGGCTCCCCATACAGGCACTACACTGTCGGCCGCACGGCTCCCGAGCTCCCCCTAGCACCCCGGGCACGGGATCGAGGCCCCGTGGGAAGGATGGCAGGGGATTATAGCGGCTCCCCCCAGCGCTTCCCTTACCCCGCTGCTGGCTCCACTATGGCGGCCAGGAAAGAGGACTGGACGCTGCTTCCGCCTGCCCTACGGACTCTAAGTTCTCGCGAGAATCAAAGGGTGAGACTGGGGAGGAAAAGTGAGCAGCGCCACCAGGTGTTCGCCGAGCCATACGGCACCTGCAGTGCAGCAGGAGGGCGGCTGTTGCAAAAGCAAAAAGCAGCAGATGCTGTCCTAAGCCCCATTGAAGTCAGTGAGGTTGCACAGTAAACCAGGGGCGGGCAAACTTTTTGGCCCGAGGGCCACATGAGGTTTCCGAAATTGTATGGAGGGCTGGTTAGAGGATGCTGTGTCTCCCCAAACAGCTAGGTGTGGCTCAGCCTGGCCCCCAACCTCATCTGACCCCCGGCTTCTCGCCCCGTGACAGCCTCCCCAGGACTCCTACCCCATCCAACCCTCCCTGTTCTCTGTCCCCTGATGGCCGCCCTGGGACACTCCTGCCCCATCCGCCACCCTGTGCTCCTGGACCTCACACCCTCCCATCCACCCCCCCCTTACTGCCTGCCCCCTGGGACGCCTGCCCCCATTCAACCCCCCCATTTCCCACCATCTGAGCGCCCCAACCCCTATCCATACCCCCACCCCCTCACCACCACCCCAAATTCCCCTGCCCTCTATCCAACCCGCCTGCTCGCTGTCCCCTTACCGTGCTGCCTGGAGCACCGGTGGCTGGCGGCACTACAGCCGTGCCGCCATGCAGCGCCGAGCACCGAGTCAGGCCAGGTTCTGCAGCTGCGCTGCCCCAGGAGCTCGCAGCCCCGCCACCCAGAGCATTGTGCCAACGGTGTAGTCAGCTGAGGCTGCTGGGGAGGAGGAACAGCAGGAGATTGGCCGGGGCGAGCTTCCCAGGCCAGGAGCTCAGGGGCCGGGCAGGAGGGTCCCACAGGATGTGGCCCGCGGGCTGTAGTTTGCCCACCTGTGCAATAAGTGCTTAGTACTGGCAGGGAGCAGAGAACGGATCAGGATGCTGTAGCATAGGGCAGCCTTGCAAACACGGTCATAGAAATTTACCAGCTCAGGCCCAAAAACCTAGGCGCATGGAGAAAAATTAACTATGACTTCCACTTCCTCCTCACCCCCATCACAAAGTAAAAATCCGTTTGCCTCACAACTATTAGAGCAGCCTTTGAGGTGCTGCTCCAGGATTTCCAGTGGGTGGGGGTTTTGCTGAGTTTAAAAAATAAATGGGGGGTAGGGAATATTAAGAAAATTACAATTTATATTCTCCATAATTACCAGGGCTGGATTAACCTTTTGTGGGCCTGGCCCCAAACATATTTGTGGGCCCCCATAGGGGCAAAGGAGCATGGGTGGGGAGTTCAGTCCCCAGAGCAAGGGGCCAGCCAGGGGCAATTGGGCATAGGATGGTGGGGCCCGCCCCGCTCCACCCAACCCAGTGCAAGGGCACCGTATGCAAACCGACAGTTGCCAGATGCACACTGGCCCATCCACCCCTGTGCTGCCAGCCTGCCCCTTCCCCTCAGCAGTGGGCCCATACCGTGCCACACAGCCCCCGATTCCCTATCCCCAGCAGCCCCCAACACAAATGCACAGCGGCTTGCACACAACCCCCCCTTACAGCCGCACCACTACTGCCCAATGCACTTCCCCACAGCCCACCACAACTACACAGCACCCACTCAGACCCCCCACCACACAGACCTCCCCCCCCTCCAAGAGACACCCCACTGGCCAGCAGCCCCCCCCCCCACCTCCAGAGACCCACTAACTCCCTCACACCCTGCCCCGTGGCCACACTCACCAGCCCTGCTGGAAGGTGATGGTGTCTGCCAGGCTCTGCTGGCAGCGCAGCCAGGGCCGGTCCAGTGCCAGGGCAGAGAATCACTCCAGCCTCCTGGGAGTGGCACGATTAGCCAGGTCAGGGTCTGCCCCAGTCCTGGCAGGACTCCCTCAGGACCCACTTGCCTGGAGATAGGATGACCATACGTCCCCATTTGGCTGGGACAGTTCCCTTTTTAAGCTCTGTACCAGCCATCCTGTGCGCCCCCCCTAGCAGGGCGGGGAGGAGGCAATGTGAGGTGTCAAGCAGCAGGGTTTGGGGTGTCAGCCCCAGCCCCAGGTAGAATGGAGCTGGGGAGGAGGGAAGGTTAGTGCCAGCCCCAGCTCCTGGCAGTGGTGCAGGGAGCGGAGGTGAGGGAGGAGTCAGCCCCTGTCCTGGCAGCAGCATGCAGAGCTCAGGAAGTGGGGGGGGGGTCAGCCCCTCGCTGCGGCGTGGGGAGCTGTGGAGGAGGGGTCAACGCCAGTGGCGGATTTAGAGTTAGTGGGGTCCTGTGCTCAGCTTCATTTTTGGGGCCTCTCCTTGGGACCCAGCCAAGAAAAAGAACATTCTCTTATCTCCCCCCCGCCCCTGTTTTTCATTCTTTTTTTCTTCATCCTCCTCCTATAAGTAATAGCAAGTAAATGAAAATAAAGTGAGGTACCTTGATTGTTTTTGTAGTCTAACTTATTTTTCCACAGACCACTTGAAAATCACTGAGGGTCTCAGCCGACCACTTAATAATCTTTCCAAATATTGTTTGTACCGTTAGCTAACTATTGTAAAGCGCTTGAGTGCTTTATAAAAAACTGTAAAAAAACATTGGGGTGCGGGGCCTGGCCAGGACTTAGGGTGTGGGAGGGGCCTCAGGGCTGGAAGTACAGGGTCTGGGGGGGAGTTAGAGTGAAGGAGCAGGCTGGGGGTTGGGGTGTAGGGTCTGGCCAGGAGCTAGAATGAGGGAGGGGACTCAGGGTTGGGGCAGGAGGTTGGGGTGTGGAGTGCTTACCTGGGGCAGCTCCCATTTGGTGCAAGGGGTGCAGATGGGGATGTGCGGGGGTGCAGGAGTCAGGGAGGGCAGGGGGCTGGGGGTTTGTGAGGGGAGGGCAGGGTCTTGGAGGGAGTTAGGGTGTAGGAGCAGGCTGGGGGGGGGGGCAGCGTCTGGCCAGGAGTTAGGATGCAGGAGGGGGCTCAGGGCTGGGGCAGGAGGTTGGGGTGTGGAGCGCTTACCTGGGGCAGCTCCTGTTTGGTGCTCAGGGTGGGGTTGTGGTGGGGTGCAGGAGTCAGGGCAGGGGGCTGGGGTTTTGGGGGGGTTCTCAGCCCCCCTGCCCTGAGCATGTCATGACAAGGTGTATGGGTAGGGGGAAGTGGGGGGCCCCGCCTTTGCTCCACCCAGCCCCGATTCCATCCCCTGCCCAAAGCCCCCCCTCCCATCTTTGCTCCGCCCTGCCCCAATTCCACCCTTTGCACCAAGGCCTCCCCCCCCCCCGGCCTCTTCTCCATCTCCTCCCCTGAGTGCACTGTGACCCCGCTCCTCCCCCTCCCTCCAGGAACACAGCAAACAGCTGTTCGGTGGCAGGGGGGAGCACTGGGAAGGAGGGGAAGGAGGCGGAGAAGAGGCAAGGGAGAGGGGAGCTTGGCAGCTGGTGGGTGCGGGACAGAGGCTAGGGGCGGAGAAGAGCTGGTGGGACCTTGGACTGCAGCCCAAGCAGAGCAGGCCGTGCCGGGGCCCTTTTGGAGCCTGGGCCAGACACCATTGTAAACCTGGTACTGATAATTACCACCATAAAAATAATTTACCTGCATGCTGTATAGGCACCCTTAAACTGCAGCTCTGTTCAGAAAAGCCAAAATGAGGTTGGCTACAGCCATAGTTGAATGTATTCTGATGCAAATAATTTCACTATGATGGGAGGTAATGCTAGGTCATTAAACTATGCAAAGTGCCATTTGGAACAATCCCTCCAGCCTGGCTCAAGAGACTCTGGCTAGCAGGACTTGCACAAGTGCTCTAAAAGTAGGAATACAGTACACACAACACTCTGAAATGGCCACTTGTGCTGGAGCTTGGGCTCTCGAACCTAAGGGAGGGAGGGATATCAGCACCACGGCTGGAGCTTTAACTTCAAAGCCCTGTCTATACTGCTATTTTTAGAGTACGAGCATGAGCCCTGCTACCCCAACTGTGTCAACCTGGCTTGCTCCAGACTGCTGTGTAGACATACCCTAAAAGTGTCCTCAAATGAATTTCATATCCTCAAATGAAAAGCACTACAGAAGCATGACTGTGTTTTGCCCTACCATGACGGGACCACTTGTAAACTGAAAGGTTGTAGTACTCAGATTTATAAAAGCAGCTTCTGTAATACTCAATTTTCTTTTTAGCAGTATAGTGAGTTCATACACAGGATTGTCACTTCTGGAAACCTGGGTTCAAACCCAGGCTTGAATTCAACTGCAAGCTGGCAGGGCCTGATCCTCTCTCAGTATTTTGAACTGTCACACATGTACAGATATAAATAAACAATATGAAAATTAAAGGGAATATGGTGACTCAAACAAGACATATGATCATCTACATCATTCAATTTTATAAACCCTTCTTCCCTTCAGCCTGACAAACTGTCTGGCTTAATTAACACAATGGTTCAATCAATCATTATAACCGTGTATTGCAAAGGATTTAAAAAGAAAGAGAAAGTACTTTTATACAGCAAGATACATATTGAAAAGGGCCAGTCATGGAAGGTTCTGAGCACAACCTGCATTGTGCTGAGCAAACACACTACTTCCACTAAAGTCAGCTGGAGTTGAGGAGACTGAGCGCCTCCAAGTTTGAGCCCTACCTATTTTTTATGCCCTGGTAGTGAGTCAGCGTCAATTAAAATTCAAGGAGGCAGTCTACTGTTTCAAATTTCCACCCACGTCAGAATGCTTACCATGATTTCACTGTACACAGCTCATTAAAATAAACAAAAACATTTACAAATGAAAAACCCCATCAAACCTGGTCTTGCAAGGCTAGTGGAATGAGAGGCAAATGGAAGTGAAGTTTTATGTGATTATATCCGAAAAGACAATGTTCTTTTAATGTAAAGACTGTTAAGTGAAGCACTCAAAAGTTAGGAAATGCTAGAATTAAAATTGCCTGTGCAACCCTGATTTGGCACCTTTATGCATATGCATTGCGAGAACCTTTAATTACATGATCGCATGCTATTTTTTCCACAGGCCCCTGCCGCATTCAGTGAGCCTTTGTTTCCAAAACTTTAAAAAAAATAAATCAGTCTGAGGCAGGTATCCAGCAAGGAAAAT